CCAACCTGTCCCGAGGAGCCCCTGGGGGAGGTGAAATCCGCAGCGCCTCTTGCACTACCTTCGGGCCCCTTCGTAGCATTGGAAAAGCATTTTCCCGAATTTTTGAAAGATTATCCCGCCCATAGCGGCTCGGCTCGCACTGCTTGCAGAGAAGTCGGCCGTCGGTCGTCGCTGTCTTGCCACACGCCGAACCGAACAATAACGAATCTTTACTCCGATCGCGCATGCGGTGGGACATGCGAGCACCGCGACCGCCGGCCGACCCATCCCCTCGGACGGCCTCAACTCCACGAGGGGCGCCGCTGCCCGGGCGCACGCGTGGGGCCTCTGCAAGGGGAGCGCGGACCTTCGGCGACGCCGACGACCTGGGAGGACGCGGCGCTTTTGCGGCAGCGAGGGCGCAGCCACCACGCCCCCGGGACCTCTGTCCGGGCGTGCTGGGACCCGGCCAGGGCCGTCTCGAGCGGGCCAGTCCTGGGACGCTGCACGCGCGCGGGCCCCTGCGAGCCCCATGGGGTCGACGGCCAAACTGCCGGCCGTGGCCCGTCCGGCCCGCTGCCCCACGAGAGACAAACTCGCGCCTCGTGTCTTTTCGCGGGAGCTCGCCGACCAGGGCCCTCTCGAGGGCCCAATCCGCCCTCATCCCATCCCTCTTATCGGCGCAGGCGCTGCCAGTGGCGCAGCAAGCGAGCTCGTGAGAAACGATCTTCTCTGGCGCATCCTCTAAACGACTGGGGATCACGTGGCCTGGACAACAGACGGACTTTAATCTCGGGGCTGGAAGGCAGCTCGCATGCGGACCCAGAGGTCCCCGCTGGCCCCGCGCGAACATGACTCAAAACGATGTCGCGTCTATCCACCGCGCAGGGCGTTGTTGTCATGAGCGGTCCGATAGTGAGCGTTTTTTCTATTCGGCGTGTCGACATTGGCAGGAAGGGGGGGGGAGGGGGGGGGGGTCTGGCTCCGGACCTCTGCTCAGTGCGACTGTTTGCAGCAGTGCTTCCATTCTAGGGAGGCTCCACCCGCTCGAAACAGTCGCCCAAAACTGCCAAGATCTACGCCAGGGTGGGGGGGGAAGGGGGGGGTGCGAGGGCCCGCGCCGATCGGCAAGAAGCAACGAGTCAACAAAAACGACCGCATACCGAGCACGGCCGCAGCTGTGCTCGAGGGCGAGCGCGACGAGCTCGGCACGCGGCGCGCGCCTCGAAGGCCCCCCCGATCCCTCCGCCCGCTGGCCTCCGCGGGCCCTCTCCGCCACCACCTCTCGCCTCGCGCTGGCCGCAGCTGCGCCCACGCGGCGCCTGCGAGTAGAGAGGTCAAACAGTCCACCCCCATGACAACCACACCGAAACACGCGAGGTCGTGTAGTAAGCGCGCCCGCACGGAGGAATCGAACAGGGCAGGGCTGTCCAGCAAACGCCCAGGGCCGTTCAGTACACGTCCACTGTCCGGTCCGGGTGGCTTTTCCACCCTGGATGCGAGGGCCCGACGAGGAGGCCCCGCCGGAACCACCGCCGAAGCTGCGCAGCACGTCCGAGCCCGTGCTCCCTCAGAAAGCCGAGCGCGACCCCGACGAGCACGAGCGAGTCGGCCGTGGACTCGTGGCAGGCCGGCGTGTCCAGGCCAAACGGGGCAGACGCCCCGGAGCCAGAGGGCGGGGCCCTGATCCACGCCCGCGCGGGCTTGGGCCACGAGCGGCCCCGAGGCGCTCCGGGGCCCTCCTCCTCCTCCTCCTCCTCCTCTCCTCCTCCTCCTCCTCCTCCTCCTCCTCCTCCCTCCTCCTCCTCCTCCTCCTCCCTCCTCCCTCTCCTCCTCCTACTCCTCCTCCTCCTCCTCCTCCTCCTCCTCCTCCTCCTCCTCGGGGCTCTCGGGGGCAGAGTGGCAGCGCCGGCAGAGCTCGTCGGAACCGTGCCCCGCACGGCGCTGGCGCTCTCGGCCCCCGCTCACCACGGCCAGGCTCGTGGGCCTCATGACAGCAAGAGCGCTTGAGCTCGCGCTGGATGTGCGCCATGTCCGCGCCGTCGCCAGGACTCTCACCATGACCATGACCATGCAACGAAGCGGTGCGCCACATCCGAGCGCGATAATTTGAAACAGGATCCTCGAACAACTCCGACGGATCAGCCACAGCAGCATCAGGACCGTCAGGTCCAAGAAGCCGTCACTCATCAGCACCAGGAATGCCGCCGCGGGTGGTAGAGCGTACCCAAAACTGGGATGACTCAGAGGACACCACTCCGTGTCCAACAGATGACGGCGGCAGCTGGACCACGAACGCGCTGCCACCGCCGCATGCCAGCACGCCCGAGCTCGGCGACGAACCAGGTAAGCGTGATCCGACGGTGAAGGTGTGGAGAGCTGCGCCAGACATCGCACCACTCCTGCACCGCCTGCCTGCGCAACTCCAGCCCAGCGGGGGCAAAACGCAGCGGCGTGGAGCAGGCAGCCGCCACACGGGCGCGGAACACATCGAAGCCCGAAACATGGTCTCCTGACCTCC